TTAAAAATTACTTAGAAACAAGTTGACAAACCAAATAAACCATGCACATGAGTTTATAAGTTACATCTTGCTCAAAAGTAAACACTTTTACATTGTCGAATAACCAATTGTTTGAGACAACTAGAAATAAAAGTAGGAAACCAAAATTTAAGTTAAGGACTTTATATAAAAAATGATATAAATATAATCATTTAATTTATTATCGGGTTATCAATTAACATGTTACGAAAAAATTCCAAATTTATGAATCGATAACTCGATAACAAAAAAAAATCAAAATTATTAGTAAAATCGCTGAATCAATAATTCAATACTAATAAATCAATAATTTTTTTTCGATTCAAATTTTTAGTTTCGATTCAAATTATCAATTTTAATTCAATTTTAAAGAATCCTCATAAAACAAAGACTTTATGAATTTAATATTTTATGTTAGACGGTATTCTTTTAAGATATTTGAATAAACTAATCTAAACAATCTTCTTGTGGCATGTGAAACAAACTTCATCGGATCACATCGTTTTATTGATTGATTTTTTCATTTTACTCAATTATATTGAGATTTAATTAAATTTAAATTTTTATTAAAAATTTATATGCAGAAGAATAAAATTATTTTAGTAATATGTAATTTCTAATCAAAAATAAAAAAATATTTGGGAAAATACTCAAGTATCCCCTCAACCTATGCCCTAAATCCCAGAGACACACTTATACTATACTAAGGTCTTATTACCCCCCGAACTTATTTTATATGTAATTTTCTACTCCTTTTTAGCCTACGTGGCACTAGTTCGAAAAAAAAAGTCAACCATCATTGGGCCCACAAGATAGTGCCACGTAAGCTAAAAAGGGGTAAAAAATTATTAATAAAATAAGTTAAGGGGGGTAATAGGACCTTAGTATAGTATAAGTGTGTCTCTGAGATTTCGGGAATAGGTTGAGGGGGTACTTGGGCATTATCCCAAAATATTTTATGATTTTATAGCAATTTTTGTTGATAATCTCTTTATAGGATATTAATTATTAGTGCTTCCTACAATTATACCATAATTAACAAGCAAAAATTCTTGACTTTAATTTAGAGTTGTTCAAAAATCTAATCAAAATCGATAAGTTAAATTGATAAAAAAGTTATTAGTTTATAATATCGGGTTTACTGGTTTTGATAACAGTTTTGATTTTTTTTGTTATTGGGTTATCAATTCTTAACGGTTTGAAATTTTTTCTTAACGGGTTAACCGATAACCCGATAGTAAAATTAAATAATTATATTTATACCATTTTGTATATAAAGTCCTCGACTTAGAGTTTGATTTCCTACTTTCATTTTGATTGTCCCAAACACTTGGTTATTCAACAATATAAAAGTGTTTGCTTTTGACCAAGATGTAACTTGTGAGCTCAAGTGCATGGTTTATTTAGTTTGACGGCTTGTTTCTAAGTGATTTTCATTTTTTTTTCTTTTGTATCAAATCTTAACGGTTAAACCGATAACCAAACCGAAAACGATGAAAAATTGATAAACCACTAAGTGATAAGCCAATATCTTAATGGTTCTATAACGATTTAGTATCTCTACAAACCGATAACCAATAAGATAACCCGATAAATTTCAAAACCGAATCAAATTAACCGATACACAACCCTACTTTAATCGATATTATGAATCCCCACTCAATTATTAGACTTGCTTACCCTAAATTTAGCTACATTTTTCGTAGCAATAAATTAATTATGTTTTTTTTCTTCAAATTAGTGCCCTACCTTTTTAATGTATGCCAAATCATGTAGAAAAAACTCATCTACATAAAAACATTGTACCTTAAATTAGGTAAGAATAATAATTCATAAATTTAATGAATGAAATAATTCACATTTTACATTGTACTTTTAAAATGTCGGTTAGATGCTTGAAAATGAAATAAATACTAGTAGTTATATTGATTTGACTGAATAATATATAGTTAAGAATAATCTATGATGTTCATGTGTTCAATAATATTAGTTTTATATCTATAACTTATTTAAGTTATAACTTGTAAATATAATTTATATTTAGTTATAAAATATAATAATACTTCATAAATAGAAGTAAAATAATAAGAGAAGTAGTAATTAATTTTTCTCCATTTAATACCCTAATTTATTCCACATATTTTTCATTTTATTTGTACTTAGAAAGAAATTTTTGTTTGGTAATATTTTTTAGGAAAAATGCACAAGTATTTCTTTTATCTATGCCCGAAATCTCCGAGACACACTTATATTATATTAATGTCTTATTACCCCTGTAATTTTCTATCCATTTTCGGCTTATGTGGCACTAGCTTGAAAAAAAGAGTCAACCAGCGTTGGGTCCACAAGATAGTGTCACGTAGGCCGAAAAGGGGTAAAAAGTTATTAATAAAATAAGTTCGGGGGGAGGAGGATAATAGGACCTTAGTATAGTATAAGTGTGTCTCTGAGATTTCAGGCATATATTTAGGAGGTACTTGTGCATTATCTCTATTTTTTTTATAATATGTCAAAAAATTATTCATATTTTAAATGTACTACCATTTTAAAAGTGAATTGTAAAACATTTTATAAGTTGTTTTTCAAATTTTGAAACACTACTTCAAACTAAACTTGAAATTTTTATGCCCAAACACTAATTTTCAAATTTATTCTGAAAAAAGGTGAATCATAATTCGCGAAACGGATTACTAATTAGAAGTGAAAGAAAATGAGCACTCCACTAACAAAGGCGGAGTCAGTATGTTCAACAAGGAGGTTCAAAATCAGTAAAATAGACACATGAAGTAGTCGGAGAGGGTTCAACACCTATTATATATATATATATATATATATATATATATATATACAAAATTATTTTAACCATATATAAATAATATAATTTTTCGCCAATTTTTTTTTTAATGAACCCCCTTCATATAAGGTAGCTCCACACCTGTTCACTAGCACTCCACAACAATTGTTATTCTTTCGATGTCAACAAAAAGAAACACATAGTTGTTGCAACAAAATTTTCATTTGTCCTTTTGATTTTTGGATAAACACATCGTATCATTGAAAAACAATAGAAAATTATTAAATATTCCTACCGTTTAATTTTATTTGTACATTTTATTAATTTTTTTTGTTTTTTATTCTCTCTTTTAGGGTATTAAATTTTTTATAGACTTGCCAATCAGCCATTAACTAAATTAATTATTTTAAAAGATACTTGTTAATTAAATTACATAGTTAAGCTAATAATTGAATTTTCAGTTAAAATTTACGGAAAGGTCTTTTATGAAAAAGAGATGACTAGTTCACAAAATGACCTAACAGGTCATTACATTATTCACCACTAAAAATCATGTTCATTCTCGAACATAAAGAAAGAGAAGGAAGAATAATTGACGTTAGCAAAACCTAAGTTATGATTTTCCAGAGTCAGTGTTCATCTCTCCAACTCAGCTCCTCCGTAAAACCATTCCATCAAGATCAGCTACTAAGAACTGAACTTTCGAATTAAAATTTGACAGATTTATAAATCAAGAGTGATTACAAAACCACAGACTAACTCATGAATCTAATATGAACCTAAACATACTAGACCATAACATGTAGGAATTGCTGGAAACAGTAAGAAGTTGGAATTTTTTTGTATATTCATCTCTTCCAAATACATGCATATATACAACTATGTGGAAATCAAAAGAACATTCTATTCCTATCTGACTATACAGGTGTCCTACTGCTATTTGCTATTTAATAACAAACTTTATTCTCTAAAGGATAATCTAACTGAAAGTATTTCTAGGTCATCAATATATACACAAACTAGATATTTCATCAATATGGGCCCGAATTCAATTTGATTTTTGAGGCCCACTTAGAAGAAGTGAAAGCCTAGTCTGAGGGACCCAAGGCCCAGTCTGAGTAAGCCCAAATGTCTTGGCATCACCCGTGTGTTTGGAGATGTTTCGACAAATCCTAGGGTTTAGCTTCTTTGCTTTTTCATCCTCGTTTCCTTTGCTGGATTTCTTGGATGAAGGAGCTGGAGAAGACGAAGCTGGAGAAGACGAAGGAGCTGTAATCTCAACATCCCCCCTCAAGTTGGAGGGGAACAAAGTGAGCCCCAACTTGCGCATGTTGCTTTGATGGGAAGGACCTGCAAGTGGCTTGGTGAAGATGTCAGCCAACTGATCCTTGGACGGAACAAAGGACAAATAAATTAATCCGGCGAGATACTGTTGGCGGACAAAATGGCCGTCCAGTTCAATGTGTTTCGTCCGTTCATGAAAATAGGGTTGCGAGCTATATGTTTAGCTGCTTGGCTGTCCGAGTGAATACGAACCGGCAATGGAGAAGGAATCGACAAATCGGTGAGTAATATGGTAAGCTATGTTAGCTCAACGACTAATCTTCTCATTATCGATATTCCGCCTCAGCAGATGAAAGAGAAACTGAACTTTGTTTCTTGGATTTCCAGGAAATGGGCGATCCCCCCAAACTGATGAAGAAACTACTTACTGATCGACGAGAAGCACGACACGACGCCCAGTCAGCATCACAAAAAGTGGTCAACGATAAAGAGAATAAAGCATTAAAGAAAAGACCATGGCTTGGAAATTTCTTCAGGTAACAAATGACTCTTAGAGCACCATTGTAATGATCAGTGGTAGGCATATGCATGAACTGAGTAAGTGTTAACACAACAAAGGATATGTCTGGGCGAGTATGAGTTAAATAGTTGATCTTTCCAATAAGATGTCGGTAAATGGTTGGATCTGACAGGGGTGTACCTGAATCTGTAGACAACTTAGGTGAAGGATCCATTGGAGAAGAAACTGAAGAGATATGAGAAACATCAAATTCATCCAGTAATTCCAAGGTATATTTCCTTTGACTGATAATCATGCCTTGTTCTTCCTGTAATACTTCCATTCCCAAAAAGTAATGTAAATGTCCTAGGTCTTTGATCTTGAATTCTTTATGCAAAAACTCTTTTAAGATTTAATCTCATCAGCAGCATTGCCTGTGATTAAAATGTCATCCACATAAACAACAATAATAGTAATGAATTCACCTTTCTGCTTAAAAAACAAGGAATAGTCGTTGAGTGAAGCTGCATATCCTTTAAAATTTAATGCCCCTGCTAATCGAGCATACCATTGCCTGGATGCTTGCTTTAGACCATATAGTGATTTTTTTCAATTTACAGACCATGTTGGGTTGAGGTGGATCCAAACCATTAGGAAATTTCATGTAGACTTCTTCTTGCAGTTCTCCTTGCAAGAAGGCATTGTTGACATCAAACTGTAAAATATCCCACCCTTTCTTAGTGGCAATAGCTAATAAACATATTTTTACCACTGGTGAAAATGTCTCATTATAATCAATCCCCTATTTCTGTATGTCCCCTTTGATAACTAGTCTTGCCTTCAATCTTTCAACTGTCCCATCAGCATGTTGCTTAACCTTGTAGACCCATTTGCAAGCCAAAGCTTCTCTTCCAGTAGGTAAAGGCACAACTTCCCAAGTGTGATTAGATTGTAGGGCATCAAGTTCATCTTGCATGACTTGCTTCCAACCTGTGTGCATAGAAGCCTTATAAAAGCTTTTAGGTTCTGATATAGTGGAGGTGGACTTGAGGATCATTTGACTAGGTTGAGAAAGATTGGCATAAGAAAAACTAGAAGGATTGCTGGGAACAGCAAGGCAAGAGTCAGTAACATCACTAAGATAAATGGTGTTACAAATATAATCCTTAAGATGAGAAGGTAGAGTTCCTATATTTGTTCTGTGTGATATTCTAACAGGAATTGGTGATGGTGATGCAACATGTGAAGAAGGAACAGTTAATTGTACTGGTGATGTATCTATAACAGGGGAATTGAGAGGAACATTTGTTGTAGGAAAAAAATCAGTTGTTGTGTTTATGGTGGAATCCTCAGAATCTGAAAGATCCTGTGGTGGAGTAGGAGAATAGTCAATGAAGATAGAATTATCAGCAGTAGGATGTGAAAAAGGAAAATGATTCTCAACAAAATGAACATCTCTAGAAATACTGACTTTCCTAGTTTCTAAGTCTAGTACCTTGTATCCTTTCTGGTTACTTGGATATCCTAGAAAAACACATTTATGAGCTTTTGGCTCAAATTTGTTCCTTCCCTGACTTAATGTGCTAGCATAACAGAGACAACCAAAGCATCTGAGATTGTGATAGGAGGGTGATGTACCAAATAAAACTTCATAAGGAGTTTTTCCATAAATGACTCTTGATGGTAATCTATTGATCAAGAAAGTAGCTGTTAGGATGCATTCACCCAATAGATAAGAGGTACCTTTGGATGAAACAAAAGGGCTCTTGCAATTTCCAACAAGTGCCTGTGTTTTCTCTCAGCTACCCCATTTTGTTGTGGGGTAGCTACACAGGAAGTTTGATGTATAATTCCTTGTGATCTCAAAAAATTTAAAGTTGTTTCACTTTTCCCTAGCTCCATAGCATTATCAGATCTAATTATTTTCACTTTAGCATTGAATTGCCTCTCAGTCATAGACAAGAAACTCTGAATCACAGAAAAAGAATTGCATTTGGTGCTCATTAGATATGTTCATGTAGCTCTGCTGAAATCATCCACTATTGTTAAAAAATACCTATAGTTGTTATAGGTAGACACCTTGTATGGTCCCCAAGTGTCAATGTGAATTAGATCAAAACAATTCTTAGTGGTGATTTTACTAGTAGGAAAAGGCAATCTAGACTGTCTAGCCTTTGGACATATATCACAAGAACAATCAGAGAGCTGAGACTTAGATAAGAAACTGACATTTTTCATTGATGCATAGGGCAAATGCCCTAATATTACATGCCATAGCCTTACATTGGAAGAAACATTTGAAGAAACTGGAAAGGAAACTGAAATTGAATCAGGAAAAAAAATAGAACTACTGATTCTACTACAATATTTAGACTCCAGGGAAGTATTTTGACTTGCATTAGACCTCTTAGGGAAAGGTTGCAACAAGTAGAGACCTTCTTTTGCTTCACCAAAAACTTGAAGCCTCTTCATTGAATGGTCCTGCAACATACAATTGTTAGAATTGAAGGAGACTGTATTTTTGAATTGATTGCAGAATTTATGAATTGACAATAGGTTGTACTTGAAACTTGGCACATACAAAACATTGTGTATTGTCAAGTCAGAAAAAAATTGTACACTACCTATATGAGTGACACTTACAGAGTGAGAATTAGGAAGATTTATATTGATTGGAATTCTAAGAGTAGATAAGGAAATAAAGGAGTCAGAATTGAAACACATATGCTCTGAGGCCCTGAATCTATTATCCAAGTTCCAGAATTAAAAACAGAAAAACAAGTCCCAAAGTACTTCAAAATAGTACCAGCTACAGCATTAGCATTGATATCAGCTGCTGCACTTTTAATTGTTGATTTTGGGATCTTCATTTCTTTCATGATTTGAATGAAATGTCCAAATTGTTCCTTGCTCATGTGTTGATTGACTTGATCCATATAGTAGTTAGGATCCTCTTTCCTTATAGAAGCAGCTGCATTTCCTCTAACTGGTGCTGAATGATTCTTCTCATTTGTGAAGTTGAAATCTTCAGGAAAGCCAATCAGTCTGTAACATTCATCTATGATATGACCTATTTTGCCACAATAAGTACAAAAAACATTAGGATTATACTTTTTCTTTCCTTTGAACCTTTGATTCTGTTTTGGGTATCTAGGTGGTGGTGGTTGCTGGTTATTCACCCTAGGGTAGCCCATGTTTGGCTTAAAATCAGAACCTGGTCCTGATGCAGTGGGGTTTAACTTCTGAAATTGCTTACCAATTTTGTTTTGATTCATATTATTTACCATGAATGATGAAGAGTCATTAGACATAATAGGACTCATGTATGTCTCCTTTGATTCTCATCCTGTAAAATCAATGAATAAGCAATATTAACGTTAGGAAGAGGATTCATCATAAGAATGTTTCCCCTAGCTTGAGCATATGTATCATTGAGTCCCATGAGAAATTGTATGAGCATTTCATCTTCTAGTGATTTTTCCACTTTCTGTTTTCCTTCACAGACACAAAAACAAGTGCACTTATCATGTGAGTCAAGTGAACCCAACTCATCCCATAGCCTCTTGAGTTTGGTGAAGTATCCTGCAATGTTGTTAGTTCCCTGCACCAGCCTGTTAAGTTCCTTCTTTAAATGGAAAAGTTTAGCACCATTTGATTGACCAAACCTATGCTCCAGACTCATCCAGAGTTCCTTTGCAGCTCTAGAGTATATAACACTATCTGTTATTTCTTTTGAAAGGGAATTAAGAAGCCAAGATGTTACCATGTCGTTGCACCTACTCCAAGGCTGCAGATCTGGAGATGCTGGATCTGGTGAAGAATGTGTTCCAGTGATGAAACCCAGCTTGTTCTTCGCAGAGTGCTATGAGAACTGATCTCTTCCAACCTTGATAGCCGTTTCCATCAAAAATACTGCTCACCAGTCCCATTCCAGGAGAGTCTGAAGAATGAAGATAGAAAGCATGATTGATATCAATTTTGTTTCCTGAAGATGTTCCTCCTACCAAAACTGTAGGTGTTGATTCAGGGTTTGAGAGAGATTTGTTTGGCATGATTTGATAATATTGATTACTTGATTACTGCTCTGATAACATGTAGGAATTGCAAGAAACAGTAAGAAGATGATATTGGAAATTTTTTGTATATTCATCTCTTCCAAATACATGTATATATACAACAATGTGGAAATCAAAAGAACATTCTATTCCTAACTGACTATACAGGTGTCCTACTGATATTTGCTATTTAATAACAAACTTTATTCTCTAAAAAACAATCTAACTAAAAGTATTTCTAGGTCATCAATATATACACAAACTAGATATTTCATCAATATGGGCCCGAATTCAATTTGATTTTGCAGGTCCACTTAGAAGAAGTGAAGGCCTAGTCTGAGGGACCCAAGGCTCAGTCTGAGTAAGCCCAAATGTCTTGGTATCAACAGTGTGTTTGGAGATGTTTCGACAAATCCTAGGGTTCAACTTCTTTGCTTGTTTGTCCTCGTTTCCTTTGCTGGATTTCTTGGATGAAGGAGCTGGAGAAGACGAAGGAGCTGTAATCTCAACATAACACAATCAAGACGAATCTTTTCTAACATAACCACGAAAAAATTATGAACCAATATCCGCTACAATCAGATGTGAACCTGAACCTATGACAACACACTCAAAATGTACAAATCAACATTTTTTCTTATCAAGATTCCCTTCTTACAAAATTATTTTTTCAGGATCTTAAGTTATAACAATATGATCTTTAGACATCAGGTATTCATCAAGGGAGGATCAAAGTTGTCTAACCAAAAGAAGAAAATCATTGAATAATCACATAGTGCACAATACACCCAAGCATAAAAAATCTCTAACAATGCTATCAAAAATGCTAGATTAGTAGTCGTGATTGTAGAAAACCCTTAAGAAGATGTTTAATTTTAACTGTAACACAATCCATCGCGGCTAAAATTCACCGACGAAAGAAGGATGATAATGACTCGGGTAAATATATCCTTCACGTCTATAATAATAATAATAATAATAATAATAATAATAATAACAATAATAATAACAATAACAATAATAATAATAATATTGGAGGGAGAAAATAAAATAACATCAAAATGAAATATTTGAGTTTAATTACACTTGATGTTCGTAAACTTTTTAAGCTGGGTAACAATACAATAGATTAACCAATCATCTGAAAGAATATACATATTGTATATAGATTGCAAATTCGCTAAGGTTTTAATTTGTGATTTGCAAAGTAGTACTGGTCTATATAGATAAGTGGATTTGATTTTTAAAATGTATTTGTTTATCAAATTATTATTTAAGTTTTGATATATTGATATAAAATAATAAAATATTGGATCTATTATATTTATATAAATATCGTTAAATTTATGATGTTGGAGAAATTGGAGTTTAACCCTAAATCTGAAACTTGAAGAAAATTGAAAGAATTGATATTATAATTGGCATCAAGATTTAGTAACTTGATTATAGGTTTTGGGTGAGTTTCAGGACTAGGCTAAACGTATAGTGATGTGTGTTGTTAGTTCGAAATCTTGTTGTGATTATCTGTTTGAATAGATTAAATTAATTTGGAATCTCAACAAAAGGGGAAGACTCAAGTCTCAAAGTGATTAGACGATTATCTGAGACAAAGTGAATTTCTTAACCCTTGTTAAGTGTATTTATTTTCTTGTGGTATGTATTGGGTAGTAATAAAACTTGGTGATAGGTTGACTTGTTCATATTGAATAATCCTAATGAGAAAAAAGGTAATAAAATATAATTAGATTGTATATTGATGTGTGATTTATTGGGAATGATATGAAATGTTTATTGATTCATTATTGATATTGTATCACGATTGTGTTGTTGTATATTGTGTATTAATATGGAAATGGTCATCTTCTTATTATTTGTGAACATGTCATTTGCATTGGTTTCATACATGTTTGTGATAAGTGTTATGTGAATTGATGAACGATAAAAAATTAAAAAGGATGTACCATTTCAAAGGACGTGTCGTATGCCACGACGAATATTGTATTTCGAGGGATGTATCACACTCCACACTAGATATTATAATACAAGATACATATCATACGCCACGACAAAATCTATTATCGAGGGACGTGTCACACGCCATAATGAATACATTGACAGATTTATCCCTCATGGGTCTAGGATGAGGTAGAACGGGTGCGTATCACTTGATCATGCATTCATCACCAAATTTGGTATTGCATTTCATTGTATTGGAATTATGGTATACTTGTAAGTGTTTTTTTTTGGACTTTTGATTGACTTTATCATGTGTGTTGTTGATCTGAAATCATTGGAGTGTTGTTATTGCGATATGTGCTATTGAAATTATGGACTATTAAGTTGAGTTGATTTCATGTAGATTGTACTTATGGAGGTTCAATTGGGGTGGTAAAAGTACCCATATTTTATACCCTTAGCTTTCTGTTAGGAGTTTGCTTGCAGAGTATCGTATGGTTTGGTACTCACCCCTTGCTTTTACAATTGTGTAGGTTATGAGATCGGATCTTCGTGATACTCTCTATTCTCTTCTTGTCTAAGACTTCCTATTTAGATTTGTGAGGTAGTTGTTTGTCATCGCATCAGACCTTCTTACTCCTATTTATGATCTTGTTCTACTTTAGTGGTAATATCATTTGAGACTTGTTTTTCTTTCAAACATGTTGAATACATTAGAAGCTTGTACACGTGACACCAGGTTTTGAGATTTAAGTTGATTATAAATCTCTATGTTATTTTATAGCATTGGACTTTTATTCTCGTTTTACTTTCATATTTATTGTATTAGTTGAGTTTTAAGCTGATTTGTCTTGGTGAAAAAAGACGAATGTAGTCACCTCTATTATTGGATCATGACAACTATATACCCCCAACTGATTTCGCTTAACTGATATTAAATAAGCATCATATATTGTATTTATATTATTAAGGTTGATAATTTTGATATATATATATATAGAGAGAGAGAGAGAGAGAGCTTATTGTAAAGTGATTTTAATTATGCTTTAAATGTAATGTATGATTTTATGTGATGCTGTGCCTGTTGTATATGCCTAAATGAAGTATGTAAACTGTATGATGCTTTTGGTATCAAAATTTTATAAATTTTTTCATAAAAATGCATAATGTATGACTTCAAAGCATATATCCCTTTTAAATACGTGTTTTTAATAGTGAAATGACTAAAATATGCAATTTAATTCAGTAGCTCAATACATTGTCTCAAATCATTCCATCATGAAGTAAAATTCAATTGAATCATGCCACTGCTAGTCAAAGTCTAATGAAAACAAACCATATTAATTAAAATAAATATTTTCCCACCATTTTTCTTGCACTTTGAGTACACAATAAATGATACAGCATATGACCCTTCTATAAAAGAATATATATCTTTAACAAGAATTTTCTAGGAACTCACATATCTATATATAGTATCAGTTAAATAAAATTATCAATCTTAATGATATCGATACAATATATAATACTTATTTAGGATTATTAAGCAGAAATTATCAGCCTTATGAAGAGGGTATAGACTATAATTATTTATGAGAGAATGAATATTTGTTGGAGAGAAATATTACTTCGAGTTTGGATATGAACCTACAATTATTTTGAATTTAATGGCCCATATATGTAATTTTCCCATTTTTTATTTTTTTTCTCATGGATTTGGTGGGAGTCCATGAACGACCTTTTGATTCAATAAAAAGGACCTTGGTGTCCTAATTTCGATTTACAAAAATAAAAGACATGATATATAAATGTGTCGTTTAACTTGGTTTTAAATTATATTTATGTCCTTCAACTTTAGATGTGCACAAATAGACACTTAAACTTGTATAAAGTTGAACAAATAGACACACAGTCTTACATGTCATCCTACATGTCATTTTTTGTCCTACGTGGTGTCCTACGTGTATTGTGCCATGTAGGACTCATGTGTTTATTTATTGAAAATTTGGATAGTTAAAGTGCCTATTTGTGCATTATGAAAGTTGGAGGTCAAAGTTAAAATTTGAAGATAAGTTTAGGGTCCAATATATGTATTATGCCAAAATAAAATAGCGTACCAAGAGAAATATTTTTTTCTTCTTCATATTTTACCTTCATTATTAATTACTTATTCCCAAATCATTTTTAATATCTAAAATTATATATCAATTATATGAATATTATGATAAAATATTCATATTAATCGTTGATTTAAATGGTATACA